CTGGAGCGCGGCCGCACGGAAGCGCAGCGAAAGGAGGGAGATGCGAGACGAAACCGGGACGCGGACAACTCCCACCAGCCCTCTGAGTGTAGGTGGTTTACAATGGGGGCCCGACCACAAGAAACCTTCCGCAAGAAACCCAACCCTACAACCCCAGGACGTCTATTGATTGTTGGCGTGGGAACGTCACGCTTTCCGTAGCAAAACCATCGAAGCCCCAGAAACCCAGGGCACCCTGGAAGCAAGCATGGTGTTTCTTGGCATGGGCCTCCATTGTAGGGCGGTTTCTCTTCCACCTCCCTCTTCCCCCGCGGGGAGGGGTTTAGACCTCCCCCACCCCCTTTCCTGGACCTGGAGGGGGGGGGGGGGGCGCGAGCGGTCGGGACATCTAAGATGGCCCAAGACGGCTCTAAGAGAGCCTCAGAGAGCCCAAGATGGCCTCCCCAAGATGGCTCAGGATGGCCTAAGATGGCTCAACATGGCTCCCAAAATGCTCTGGGAGGCCCCACGACCGCTCCAAGACGGCTCCGAGTGGCCGCGGAGCCTCCCCAGGAGGCCGCCAAGAGGCCCAAATCCAACAAAAACCGAAGGTGAATCAATTATGTTTGCCTTCTTGCCCTTTTGCTTTCGATGACCTTCCGAGGCCTCAAGACAGCTCCAAGAGAGCTCCAGAGAGCCCCAGGCGAGGCCCAAGAGAACCCCAAGACGGCCCCGAGAGCGCCCACGAGCGCCACAAGAGCGCTCCAAGAGGGGTCCAGGAGACGATTCTGGGCAATCTAGAGTGGCAAGGTTAATTGAAGCTCCTCCCTTCTTTAGTCGATCTCCCCCAAGATGGCCCCGAGAGCACCTTCAAGGCTCCCAAGAGCGCCTCAACAGGGCCCAAAGAGGCCCCAAGGAGGCCCCAAGAGGCGCCCAAGAGGCCTCCGAGGGGCTCCCAAGAGACCCCCAAGAGGCCCCAAGAGACCCCCCGAAGTACGCAAGACGCTCCAAGAGACCCCAGGGACCGTCAAGAGGCCCCCAAGACGCTTCAAGAGGCCCCCAAAAAGCTTCCAAGAGACATCTGAGGAGACTCTGTGAGGCAACTCGCCTGGGCATCGTTTCTGGGTGGGCTGGTGGGGATATTTTTTTACTTTACAGCCGCAGGCGGAAGCGCCAGCGGCGAGCGGTCACGGTCGGGCTGCGGCCGCGACTAACTAGCGGGCGCGCGCGGAGCCGCGGATCAGGCGGCGAGCGGCGGCAACCCAGGGCGTCTGAGAGGCCAGCGGACGTGCAATCCCAGGGAGCCTGCAAGGACAGCCCGAGAGGAAACGTGCAAACGGCAAACCCAGGGAGTCTGAGAGAACAGCCACCGAGGGGAGCCAGCGCAGCCAGAATGGCGCGTGGGCGTTCCCGCCGTGATCGTAACGAGACGACAGTAAGGCAGGGAACGATCTCCCGGCAGGAAAGTCAATCCAGGGAGTCTGACGGGTATGAGCAGACAGAGGCTGGTGACGCGGTCCTGCAGGAAAGTACTCTGACAGCGCCAGCGAACCGTCGCAGCATCAGAACAGGCATCCGTGAGGTGGAAGCTGGGGCCCCACGGCAGAGGTAAGAATCTTCCACTGTTGAGAAACTGGTGGGGATATTTTTGTCTTACAGCCGCTGGCGGAAGCGCCAGCGGCGGGCGGTCGCGGGCGGGCTGCGGCCGCGACTAGCGGCGGGCGCGCGCGGGGCCGCGGTCAGGCGGCACGCAGCAGCGTCCCAGGGCGTCAGAGCCAGCGTGCAATCCAGGGAGTCTGCAGAACAGCCCCTGAACGAGACATGCAACGGCGCATCCAGGGAGTCTGAAGACAGGCACCGAGGAAACCGAGCGCAGCCAAAATGGCGCGAAAGGCGTTCCCAGCAGTTCAGATACGAACAGGTAGGAACGTTCCCGAGGACGTCGATCCAGGGAGTCTGACGGGTAACACAGACTGACTGGAGACACAAGTCCAGCGGAAGAGCCTGAAGGGTGGGGATAAGCGAAGCGTCAAGAACTGTCGACGCTTCGCGTATCCCCACCAGCCCATCCAGGAACGATGCCCAGGGGAGTTGAGATGATCACGGAAGCGGGAGAGCATGCAGAAGAATAAAGGGCGGAGGAAACTGTCATGTACCCCAGGAGGGGGAGGATGGAGGAGAAATCTTCGTCGTCGCCGGAGGAGGAGGAGGAGAAGGAGGAGGAGGAGTAGGAGGAGGAGGAGGAGAATGAGGAGAATGAGGAGGAGATTGAGTAGGGCGAGGGCGAGGAGGACGAGAAGGATGAGAGGGAGGAGAAGGAGAAGGAGGAGGAGGAGGAAAAGGAGGAGGGGAGGAGGAGGGGGAGGGGGAGGGGGAGGAGGAAGGAGGAGGAAGAGGTGGACGAGGAAGAGGAGGACGGCGAACCGAAGAGCCAGAAGCTTCTTAAATGCCTTTCGGAGATCCTCTTGAGGCTTCTTGGGGGTCTCTTGGGAGCCTCTTGGGGGCCTCTTGAGCGCCTCTTGGGGCCGTCTGGGCGCCTCTTGGGGCCCTCTTGGAGCGCTTTTGGGAGGCTTTAGGAGTGCTCTCGGGGCCATCTTGGAGGAGATCGATCGAAGAAGGGGGTTCCCTAATTACGCCCCCCCCCTCGGGAGCCCCCAACATAGCCTCCTGGACCATTATTGTAGCGCTCTTGGAGCGCTCGTGGCGCGCTCTTGGGGCCCGTCTTGGGGCTCTCTTGGGCCCCTCTGGGGGCCCCCTTGGGCCATCTTTGAGGCATCTTGAGGCCTCGGATGGCCATCGGAAACGATAAGGCGAGAAGGCAAAAATCAGTGGCTTTCCTCAGGTTGTTGAAAGATTTTGGCTTCTTAGAGGCCTCCTTGGAGGTCTCGGAGGCCTCTTGGAGCCGTCTTGGAGCGGTCTTGGAGCCTCTTGGAGCAGCTTAGAAGCCATCTCGAGGCATCTTGCGCTATTTTGAACCATCTTGGAATTCCTCTTGTGCTCTCTGAGCCCCTCTTGGAGCCGTCTTGGACAATCTTGGAAGCTCTGACTGCTCGCGAAGCCCCCCGTCCAGGTCCAGGGGAGGGGGTAGGGGGGAGGGGTAAACCCCTCCCCGACAGGGAAGAAGGGGGTTGGAAGACAAAACTCCCCAGACCACCTACGCCCAGAGAGCTGGTGGGATTTGGACAAGGACTTATCGGAAACGTCTGAGGCCTGGCGGTTCTGGAGGATGTATCGGGCACCGCGGCCGTTCCAGAGCGTTCCTGAACGCTCCGAGAGCGTTCTGGAACCCTCTGGCAATTGAACGGATTGATCCTCGCCGCAGCCCCGCCTGAGAGCTGAGCGGAGGGGGAGCGGGCAAGGCCGCCGCGCGCATCACTGGGCGCCGCCGCCCGCCATGGGCGCCTCCACGGAGCCGACCCGGCGCAGGGACACGTCGAAGATCAGCGCGTCGTCTGGGGGGAAGGGCGCCTGGGGCGGGGTGGGGTAGAGGAGCTGCCTGGGCAGCCAGAGGAGCACACGCTCCCCGAGGGTCATGTGCCGCACCGCCCTGGCCAGCCCGGGGATAAGGCCCGGGCCCCCCAGCGTGAAGTTCAGGGGGCCCAGGCTGCGGGACGAGGCGTACTCGTCCCCGTCCCTGGTGAAGGCTCTGTACTCCAGCGAGACAGCGTCGTCGTCGACGGGTGAGTTCCCGTTGGCCCCGGGCGCGAGGCGGATGAACACCAGCCCGTCTCCGAGGTCCACCCTCTCGCGGCCCTTCGCGTCCCTGGAGGTGGTCGCGGGAAGCGAGCCGTCGAAGCCGCGCTGCGGCGCATCGATCATCCTCGGGCTGAACGCCTGCTGCAACTCGTCCGGGGCAAACACGAAAATCTGGATTGCGGCCGCCCGCGGCATGGTCGCCAGGGCGAGGAGGGCCAAGGCGCAAGGCGCCATGGCCGTGTCGCGCGGCGTTCGTTCTGGCCGAGAAAAGCTTGAGGGCAGAGGCTGCGGGCTGCAGCCTGTCAGCGCCTGGTCGCCCCCGCGGTGCCAGGCAAATCGAAACTGCCCCCAACCTGGGACGCTCCCTCTTCCTCCTGCCCATCCTCCCCCTCCACCCCATCCTCCTCGTCCTCCACGCTCTCTTCTTCCTCCTCCTCCTCCTCTTCACCCTCCTTTTCTTCCGCCTCCTCTTTCTCTTCCTCTTCCTCCTCCTCCTCCTCCTCCTCCTCCTCCTCCTCCTCCTCCTCATCCTCCTCCTCATGCTCCTCCTCCTCATCCTCCCCCTCCTCATCCTCCACGTTATCCTCCTCTTCCTCCTCGCCCTCGTCCTCCTCCTCCACCTCCACATAATCAGAAGCAGCATCATAATCATCAGCGAGCATCAGCATGGTCGTCATCATCATCATCATCATCATCATCATCATCATCATCATCATCATCATCATCATCATCATCATCATCATCATCATCATCATCATCATCACCATCATCCATCATCATCACCATCATCATCATCATCATCATCATCATCATCATCATCATCTTCTTCTCATCATCATCATCATCATCATCATCATCATCATCATCATCATCATCATCATCACCATCGCATCATCATCATCATCATCATCATCATCATCATCATCATCATCATCATCATCATCATCATCATCATCATCATACTCATCAGAATCATCATCATCATCAGCATCAGTATCATCATCACCACCACCACCATCATCATCATCATCAGCATCATCATCGTCATCATCATCATCATCATGATCATTATGATCATCATCATCATCATCATCATCATCATCATCACCATCAGCATCATCATCATCATCATCATCATCATCAGCATCATCATCATCAGTAGCAGCAGCAGCAGCATCATCATTATCATCATCAGCATCATCATCAGCAGCAGCATCAGCATCATCATCATCATCATCATCATCATCATCATCATAATCAGCATCATCATCATCATCAGCATCATCATCAGCATCATCATCATCATCATCTCATCATCAGCAGCAGCATCAGCATCAGCATCATCATCAGCATAGTCAGAATCATCATCATCATCATCATCATCAGCAGCGGCATCATCGTCATCATCATCGGTGGCGGCGACGGCATCATCGTGATATGAACATGAGCATGATCATGATCTTCATGATCAGTATTATGAGCAGCATCATAATCAGGATCATAATCAGCATCATCCTCATCATCATCAAAATCAGCATCAACATCATCACCATCATGATCATCATCATCATCATCATCATCATCATCATCACTTCCATCATCATCCTCGGCATCATCATCATCAGCATAGCCAGAGTCATCAGCATCGTCGGCATCATCAGCAGGCATCAGCCGCAGCCTCGTCATCATCATCATCGTGATCCGCATCATCAGCATCATCAGCATCATCAGCATAATCCTCATCCACATCACCATCAGCATCATAATATCAACGTCATAGTGACATCCACATCATTATACGTATCATCCACGTCATGAACATCATCATCAGCATCAGCATCAGCATCAGCTGATCATTACCATCATCAGAAGCATCAGCATCAGCATCTGCATCAGCATCATCAGCATAATCGTCATCAGCTTGAGGATGATCATCATCACCACCACCATCATCATCATCATCATCAGCAGCAGTAGCAGCGAAATCATCACCACCATCAGCAGCAGCACCATCAACAGCATCATCGTCATAAACATCGTCATCGTCACCGTCATCGTCATCAGTAGTATCACCACATCCATCATCATCATCCACATCAACGTGTACAGTAATACCTCCTCGTCGCCATCACCACCACCACTACCACCGCAACAATCATCATCAGTAGCATCATCGGCATCATCATCAGCACCATCATCAGGAGCAGCCTCATGGCCACCCGCATTTTCATGATCATCACTATCAGCATCACCATCATCATCATCATCATCATCATCATCATCATCATCAGCATCAGCATCATCATTAGAATCATCATCATCATCATCATCATCATGATCATCAGCATCACCACCCTCATCCTCATCATCATCCTCCACGTTCATTCGCTCGCTCGCCCGCCCAGAAGGTCTGAAGGTCTTGGCCTATATCAGTACAAAAGGGAGACAGGGGACACGCATCGAAGTCAGGCGACGAGGGACCACACGGTATCATAATCATCAGGTTCATCATCATTATCATCATGATCATCAGCAGCAGGAGCAGCAGCATCATCAGCATCATCGTCAGCACCAACATCATCATCATCACCACCGCCACCATCATCATCATCAGCATCATCATCATCAGCAGCAGCATCATCAGCAGCATCATCACCATCATCACCATCATCATCATCATCGGCAGCATTATCATCATCATAATCAACATCAGCAGTAGCAGCATCATCTGCATCATCATCAGCATAATCATCATCATCGTCATCATCACCATCATCATCATCAGCAGCATCATCATCATCAGCAGCAGCATCATCTTCATCATCATCAGCAGCATCATTATCATCATCGGCATCATCAGCATCATCATCATTATCATCAGCATCATCATTATCATTATCAGCAGCATCATCAGCATCATCATCAGCAACATCAGCATCAGCATCAGCATCAGCATCATCATCATCATCATCAGCATCAGCATCATCATCATCATCATCATCATCATCATCATCATCATCATCATCATCATCCGCATCATTATCATACTCGTCATCGTCATCATCATCACCATCATCAGCAGCAGCATCCTTCTTCTCCCACTCCTCTTCCCTCCTCCTCTCCCTCGTGCTGGACCTGTACTTGCGCGCACATCTCTCGTACTCACGTCAAAGAAGCCCACAACATTTGACGGGCTGAACGGGTGGTGTCAGCACAGTTCATGGCATGCAACTCCAAAGCCCAGCTCAATTTACAAATCAGAACCATTCGTGGTTTACCCCAGTATATTCCGTCGGGCACCCCTGCAGCCAAGATTGTCGGAATTTGTTCCTCCTCATCTCCACAGATTGTTTCTCGTTTTCCTACTGCTTGTCCTACTTCCCTCCTCCGTCCTCAAAGAATGTTCACGACATTATGTCAGTTAATGGGCCGAACGGTCCCACAGTGTCCTTGGGTGTGTGTGGCTGCAGAGGGGTTTTGAGGAGCGGAATATCCCCCGTGTTGCCCTCGCACGGAAGCCCATCCGCGACACACCCCACGACCTTCCAACGACTTACCCGCGACCCACCCACACCCCATCCAACGACCCACCCGCGACTCAACCGCGACCCAACCGCGACCCAATCGCGCCCCACTCGCGACCCACCCGCGATCACCCCGTGACCTGCCCGCGACCCACCCGCAACACACCAACGCTACTTTGCTAAGCCAACAAGTTGGCGTCTGTGGCGTGCCCGCCGCGTAAAAACCAAACTGCGTCAACGGTCAGTTTTTGTTGCACATACCCTCGGACTCAGTGGGCCTCGGAAACGGCAGGGCCGTTTTTTCACCGCTTCCGAAAAAAATCCCTTGAATATGGAAACGGCAAAAAAACGGCAACCGGAAACGGCAGCAAAAACGGCTCCAGGATTGGAACCGGGGCGGGAACCCGTAAAAAAACGGCGACGGAACCGGTAAAAGAACGGCCCTGTCGTTTCCAGGGCCCACGAAGCCCTCGGACCTCCGAAACTACCAACCCCAATCCCTAACCCCCTCCCCATTGGGGGCTGTACCATTCGCATTGCTGTGTTGTCCCCCCTCCACGGCCGCGCTCGGTCCTCGATAACGCCTCCCTGTCGCACCTCCCAGCGTGTCTATAGAGCAGGCCGGGCGTTTCGCGTGAGCACTCCTTACCACGTATGATCGTAGAGATATGGAATCCGCAACAGCTACATGGATTGAGGGCAGGTGGTTTTCAAAATTGGGCTCTAGCCTGAGCGCCGCGCACTTTCGTCTTACGACAGCTAAAAGGGGGCACGGGTAGTTTCAGAAGACGCGTGTTCCGCCCCAGCGCCGCAAACATTCTTCTTCAGCATTCGCAGCAGGTTCAAAGATGGCGCCCAGGTGGTCTTCAATAAGGGGCATCGGCCTCAGCGCCGCGCACACTCGTCGTAAAAACGTGCACCAATTACAAGGATGCACAGCGGTTCTCAGAATGGGATGTCACCTCAGCGCCGCGCACAGTCGTCTTGAGAGCACGCAGCACTGACAGGGACAGAGGACGGCTCCGCTCCAGAATGTGCAGCAGCTGCACGGATGGAGGGCACGGCTGTCGCCGCCGAGCTCCTCGAGAGTCCTGACCAACGGGGCCGGCCCGTTTTCGCAGCGGGGATCTCGCTGGGCACCTCGTTGAACTGCACGGTCACTCCTCCTCCTCCTCCTCCTCCTCCTCCGCCTCCTCCTCCTCCTCCTCCTCCTCCTCCTCCTCCGCCTCCTCCTCCTCCTCCTCCTCCTCCTCCTCCCACATTATACCAGTCGCCTCTCTTCTGCGAGCTCGGGGCCTGATGCGCCTCACGCCCCGTAGCGGCCAGCCCAGCAGGGGAGGTGCACGCAGCACCGCATGGCATCGCCCTCCTCGCCGGCCCAAGCCCGACGAGGCTCCAGCACCCACCCTGCTCAGGCCCACCTCCCACCCAGATCGATCGGTACGCCGCGCTGCTTTGGCCAGGAGATGATACCGGCCAATATCGGAGCAAAATTTCGGGAGCGGCCAAGAGGGGGGCGTCCAAGAGGGGGGCGCGCAAATCATGGCCGGCGGCATGTGCGCGGCCCAGGGGGGGTTGGGCCAGGGGCGGAATGAAATAGAAGGAGGCGCCATGAAATCTGGGGAGATATCACGGCCCCCGCCATGATATCCCCACCCCCCCTAGTCATCAACCCCCTCCTGGCCGCTCCCGAAAATTGGTGCCCCCCGAAGTGCCTGAACCCCGCTGGCGCTGGCGGGGTAGGAGCCCAGGCGCCAGGCGTG